GACAAAATAGAAACTAACTACCTATATGAAATGGCGTTTAGATGATTCTTGAAATCCTATTAAAAATATTATTACACGAACAACATATTTTTAGAGATAACTTTCTAATTTTTGTTTTCATAATACATGGTTATATTTAGTAGATACATCTATATATGCATTATAATTTAAAAGGGGGTTTTGTGACGTAAGTTGCCCCAACAAAATTTTTGAGGGGACACATTTCGACGGAGTTATAAATTTTCGGAGTGGAAAGTTTCATAATAGAGAACGAAAAGGGGAAACACTGGATAGACCACAGTAAGTGTAATTGTATATGATCTACGACTTGTCTAATCCTACTTTCGCTAGCATAGGTTTTAAGAAGAGGAGAGAAATACAATTTTTGGATAGGTCCCCTCTCCCGTAAATCCGCCAGTATTTCCATGACATTTACCCACATTATAACAGACGTCATAAAATCTCCATGCTTTCTGTTTCCTCCCGTTAATGTTACACTTCTTCTTCTTCCTCTCAGCGTGGAGGGACATCAATCCATTCACACCAGTCTTCGAGGTTCTTCGCTAGCGTCACTGAACGTGACTGCTTGGATCACCTCTCTCTCCCATCTTGGCTACTTCATTCATCATTTCCGGGGATGTCCTCTTGGCCTTTTTTCTATGGATCTTACCACTAGGAACTTCCTAGGTTTTTTTTTTACCCCCATCTCATCCATTCCGTAGGTACGCCATTCTTCTAACGTGACCGACCCATTTCACCATCTTCTTTTCTACGGTTTCCAACATTGGTGGTACCTTGACTTCTCTGAAGTAGTTCGTTGGTTTCGCATGAGGTCCCTTCTAGTTTGGCAAGCTACTCTCCTTATATATTTCATTTTAGAAGCGGTTAGTCTGCTTTTATGCTTGTCTAGCTCCTAGCTCTCACAACCGTACAGTAAGGCTGAAAGCTAAAGTGTGTTATAAATCGACAGCCACACTGCAAAAGCCTGCAAGTGCAAAACATATAATTATTTATAAGACGAAATAAATCGTTTATTGCTTCCTCATTACCGAAGATAGGGAAGCATTGTGTTCGTGCGAGAGATTAAAAACAAATTTGTGCTCAGAATCGAAAATTTCCACTCGCGTTTTACGTTTCAGATATCAAGGATCAAATTTGGTTCGGTTTCTGTCTGTCTGTAGTCAAATCGATGTGACGGGCATATCACCTAGTACCGTTCATCCGATTTTCATGGAATTTTCAGGAATTTTGCGGGTCTGAATGGTCTCATATCAATTTTATCAATTTCCATTAACCAACTCTGCTTGTGCACATGTAAATGTATTTTCATAGATATACCAATATTTCAGAAAGGGCTCGTTCGGTTTGGCTCAAAGTTAGATAAAAGGTAGACACTGGTTTTTTAAAAGTTTACGGAATTTCCTAAAAAACAAAATTTTATGACATTTTGTAGCCTGCAACTGATATAAGTAGTCTGCTACTATGGAAAGACCTTTTGCACTAACAGTATTGAAATTCATGTTTTTTTTTGTTTTGTTTTTGTTTTATTAAGCATAATCAAATATGGAATCTTCAAATACGGCACTCTTTTGTTGAATATTGAAGGGTAACTGTATTTCCGAATCGGCTTCTCCCAGAGATTTTATTCTCATACGAAAAATTGTATACCTTGTAATATACAACGAAAATGGTGAGGAAGCTATACTGACTTTACTTGGCAGACGTATTTTTCTTATTATATGAAATAGGTAGATTTTTCTTTCAATTTTCAATACAGGCATAAGACAAAGAAATGATGTTCTAAATAAAGTTTATAGTTTGTTTTTATGAACGTACCAAGGTCATGATTAACCGACAAAGCTCAAAACCGCACATTCTAATTAAATTGTACCTACAGGCTTTTACAGTGTGGCTGTCGATATATTTATTTTTGTTATATTTTCGAGTTCTCTATTCCCCACGACTGAATTCCAGATTTGGTAGTAGATTCTCTTTGTTTTTTTTATTTATTCTTTTTGATATTTCCTCATCTTCCAACAGCTGATCCCAGATGTATGTAATCTTCCACCATATGAATTAAATAATTTTACACAATTATTGTTATTTCTAGGGAAGAAAAGTTTAAAACATTGAGTATTCAAACCAGGAGTAATTGGTTCCTTTATCCCTCGGGTTGTCCTTTTTCTCAAATGTTTCTATCTTACCTCTCCCTCCATTCCCTGTATGAAAAATTGAAAACGAGGTAAACAAATAGGTCAGTTTATGATTATTGTAAATATTCCTTAGGAAGGAATCTTCTCCCATTTTTAAAAATCGTAATCCATGTTACAGGTCTAACGATTATGCATCATTAATCTGTATTACCAGCTGAATAAATTCATCTACAAAGTCGAAATTAAAGTCTCTGATTGTTACTTTCCTCTTGTATACATTCCTTTTTAGCACTGCATAGTATAATCATCCTTTGATTATGATATATTAGCATCTAGAGATTGTTATATTAGCAATCCATCTTTAGCAGCCGAAATTTGAAGATTCAGAAAGTCACTCTTCATACTTCGAATACTTCGTCCAAAGAAGATGAACGTTAAAGCCTATAGTAATATTATTTTAAGGGAAAGCAAAAAAATAGGATGTTTTTCTTGTAGTTTTCAAAATGTTTTCTCCAAACATTGATTTTATGTTCACCAATTAAAACTATGCTAGCTAATTATTTATAATTTTTAAAAAATACCGTAGTCATAAAATTCTTGTGGAAAAACAATCCAGGGATGCCAAGAAAGGATTTGCATGACCCAAGTTCAGCAATCAAAATTTTGTAGGATTTTGAATTTCTGGGAGAGGTTATATTTGATGGAGTTATTAATTTCAAATGTAACGACATTTTCGTGGTATTTTAATTTTGGGAAGAACTCAAACCATAGAAGAAATGGAAAACTAACAACAGGTCTATAATCAACATTTTTCTAATTCTCTTTCGCTTGCAGTATTCTTAAGAGAAAGAGAGCAATAAAATTTCATAGAAGGGATGGAGGTACGCCATAAATATTGGGGAGGGAGAGGGTTGGACTCATGATACAAACTATTAAAATAGTAATTTTAATATCTGTAATTAAAATATTAATTATTGAAAATATTAAACATGATTCATCGGCCTTTTTGAAAACTTGAAACTTTTCGCCTGCAAGCTTGAATAAACTCGGGATAACTTAGTTTTATAATAAAATATTTTTGATTATTCACATTATCTGAGACTGAAGCCGATTATTAGATGAGTAAAGATTATTATTTGAAGTTAAAAATTACTTGATTAATACCGACTAATTTATTTTTCATAGGTTTTACAAGATTTTATAAAAAAAAGTAATTAAAAAATTACTTTAAACAATATATGTTAAGATTTTATTTGATTGAATAAGATGCTTTCATTATTAACAAACAGTTCTCAATGACTGATTTCGTCTATAAAATATTTCCAATATGGCAACTTCTAATGACGATACTATTGAATAATTTTAATAATCTAGCAACAGAAGGACATCTTATTTAGATCTAAAATATCTGACATTCCACAATGTTTATCGTTTTTAATCTTCGGTAACTCTGAGATTCTAAAAGGTTTTTCTAGTCCATAAAAACGATGTTTAACAGACAGTTAAGGTAAAACGATATATCAGATTTTTTTTTTCTAGCTATTTTAAATCGTTACAAAGCCTGTGACGTTGTTAGTCGTTATGTATCTTCTAAATTAAATAATTAATTCAGTTTTCCGTCTGCCATTGAGATAATTCAAAACACGATTTAAACTTAGATAGATCTCACGATCCATAGAATTAACAATGTAATTGTCGTTAATTTAATATGTTCTTTAAACATTAGAAATAAGTTCTCGTGATTCATACAACTATAATCAGTCTTTATAATATCGATTTTACTATCAATGACGACGTTATATAAATGAAACTATTAATTTCTGATTTCATAAAACAAATAATTTTCACAAAAGGATGTTAAATTTTAAATATGGGCATTATAAAATACACATTAAGTTGTAAAGTGACAATACAGATATATTCCTAGCCATTATCTTTGGTAGCAATTATGTGGTAATATTATCTTATCTGCTATTGGAAATGCAGAAGTGACTGATGAAACTTTATAAATTCGTCATCTTAAAATAAGTTAACTATCTACACCTGATGAAAGGATTAGATGAAGCGATATGACCACGAAAAAACTTTAAGATGATTAATAATTATATTATTAGCTCATTGTCAATATTTTTTTATACGAAAAATCAAGGAGAATACTTAATGTCATCGAGAAAACTTTGACTTAAATTCGAACATTGATCATGATGTTTATATAAATATTAAAAACGTCACGAAATCTCAATGAATCAACGATATGGTATTTTGAAAATATGTGAACTATGAAAGATGGATAACAAATGCAACATATTTTTATATGAAATAAGTCTAAATTCACTTAAACAAACTTATATATAGCATTCAAACTGTTACATTAATTTCATAATACATTTCTGAGAACTACTGAAAGGTTCAATATTGCCGCATGATTACAGTCAAAATGTAATTTCAAGACAACATAACAAAAAAAAATTCAATGAAAATATTACCAAATAAATCTAGTTAAAATGTCTTTAAATTTTAGTTCATCATTTATCATAACAGATTTAATAGAAAATACTTAATAAGGCCATACTGGTCCAAAAATTTTAACCAATGAACATGGTAATAATTATCAGCATGAAACATGAACGTATATGGAATTGTTTAAAAAAATGATAACAGCGTAAATTTAGTAGACAGGATAAATGACAGTTTTATCATGAAAACAGTAACAGGACATGTTAATCAAATTCAATGTTTACAACAATCTTTCTTGATACTGAGATCTCTTAAAACAATTTGAACCCCTTTGACAGCTCTGGTTCAAGCAAGAGAAAAGCAATTAAAGCCATAAATTTCTTCATTGATCTATCTGTTGCATTGAGTCCATATGTGACTAGGCATTGGGCCTAGATAAAGGAAAAGCGTGGGTGTTCTGTACAGGGTGGGCCGAAAATCGTTAAATACGACTTTTAAAGGCCGAACCTTGGGTAAAGGGAAGTATGCAGATCGGATAGGACAGCTCGGGGGGTGAATCGTGACCACTGCTAGGCCCCTGAAGCCAAATAGAAGATTTGGCCTGGAGGAAAACACTGGACCATATGGCAGTCCCGCCCCCACGTGTTTTGGCGCCCCCGTTCAAAACAGTATATCGATCCAACATGGCCGGGGAACAACTGATGGAATTTGAGTTTTTATTTTATATGGGAAAACTAACAGCATTCTGAATAGTGTACAAAGGGAACTAGGGACCGAGGGGGTCAGGGCTGAGCTATTGGTAAGGGGAATGTACCCTCGGATGTAGCATATGTCAGGCTAACCTCACCTTTTGTATAATGTAGCAGCGGGAATTGTAGGCTGTGCATATGTAGGTCCCATCGGCATCGAGGCAGGCTGTCAGGGGGTCGTGTAGATGGCGTACGGCCAAGTGCGGCTTATTCTTTTGGGGCATTCCTTCATGCCCCTTCGGCTCTAAACATCGGGACCTGTTGCGGCGTTTCAGCTGCGCGACTGAAACCGTCTTAGAGCATCCCCACCCCGCGCAAGCGCATATTTCCTAAATTACCTTTCTTATTAAATTCAAATCCAGCCGTTATTCCTCGCTATTTCTATCCATATCACACTGTTCTATTGAAATTCTTTGATATGCCATATCATTAATGCCTGCTAGCTAATCATCTAATTTGTAATAGACAAATTGGTTTAATTACGAGTAAATTCTTACTACAAAACACTTGATACCTTCATCTAATTCATTAGAATATTAATAACAATAGAAGTGATGTGTTTCGAAGAAATGATTTTATGCTGAAGAAAAACTCCAATATCTTCTTATCACTCCTGACAATTACTTTAACACTTAGCATCGAAACAAAAAGGTTTCGTCGTATTACTTGTAACAACTTTTGAATAGGACAACAAAATCAATTAGAAAATAATAAATGAAAAATGTAATTTTCTTTTAAAAAGCCTTCTCTCAGAGGCAACACTGAACAGAGAAAAAAAAGTACACATCTCTCTAGAAAGCTTACGTGTCAATAGAGAGCGTTGCAATCAGTCAGCTGAGTAAGAGAGTTAATTATTATTCAAGATGTCAATTCCGCCCTGATTTCGGGTTAGGTTAAATCAAGTTTGTTTGGAGTCGTTTAGGCTTTCTTTTCGATATTAAATGTAACGTTAGATCATGACAATTTGAAAAATTAGTTTATTATGTCTTCAAGAGTGTTAAGGAAACTAGGTTTGCAAGGGGAAAAAGAAATAACTTGTATTAATGATGATGCAAGTGATCCCGAAGCTGATTTTTCGAATTCTAGTGGAGCGAAGAAGAAACAGCTCAACATCAATCGTTATGATTTGGTAATTGATTTGTTATCTTCATAGAGAATTGGGTCATTTTTGATGCTTCAGTAACCATTGTTGTGGTTATTTTTTTTATAGCAATGATCCCTAACTATTCTTTACTTAAGCTGATAATTATGACTATTTTTAGTTGAATCAGCAGTCTCACTCTGAAAGTGAAGTTAAGGAGGATGATGATCATGAAACAGCTGGTTCGCTTAATGCTCATGAAGGAGCCATAGATCTTAAAGATGCCTCTAGGAGGAAGAAGAAGAAAAAGAAAAAGAAGCCATGCAAACTTCCCAGTAGTAACACTAGAAGTAGTGAGGATAACATCGAAGTAATTCCTTTTGCAAATTAATTTTTATTGTTAAACATTTTAACCTGTTTTGAAACCATGTATGATTGTTCAGGATGAAGTTGAAAGGTCTGTTCGAGAAGTTAATGAAATTCTTGGAGAATTAAAAAGTGTAGGACAGGTCCACCCGGCTGATTCTGGCAATTCTAGCTTAAGAAAGGGAGTGCTTAATGTTGAACATAGAGCTCTAAATCCCAACAATGAATTGAGGCGAATTTTTGGTTCTAAGATACTGCAGACTGAGCAAATGTGTGTATTTGTGAGTATGCTTAATACTTGCTAGTGTTTTATGTGGTTGTCAATGAATTAATTTATTTCTAGAAAAAAGAGAGGTAGAAGTCGAGGGCACATAAAGTCTACATTCCTTGTTACTCCTAAAGAAAATTGGCCACCGATTGGGAAATCTGGTATAATTTATGTTGTTTCAAGTTGATTTGCCCGTTTTAGTTGAATGTTTTGGAGAATCACTAATAGAAATATGTTCAAGGTCTGTCTATGAAGTTGGTTGAAAACAAAAATGGGATTAACTATTTCGCTTATGAACACTCGCTGAACTATCAACAAGTTCAGATGAAATTTTTTGAAGCTGTAGAAAGTCTGAATCCAGATAATATTGTTGTAAGATTTATAAACATGATATTGAATGAATGATGTTTTTTAAAATTAAAAATAACTCAAAAGATCTTTAATTTCAGAGTATTATTAATATGTCTCCTTATCATGTGGATGGATTACTACAGCTTTCTGAATTTTGTCGTCTAAGTGAGGATTTATCTATGGCTGCAGAACTAGTGCAACGGGCATTGTATTGTCTTGAAATGGCCTTTCACCCATCTTTTTCACTTTCATCTGGTAATTCAAGGCTTGATTACAGAAAGCAGGAGAACAGGTACTATTTGTCATAATTATTGTGAGCATACGCAACTCCTCTTAGTTTTGTCTATTTAAAAATTTACATGTTTGCAATTTTATTTATTTATTGTTAGTTTATCTTGTTGGATTGAATCCTTTGATTCAAAACTTTAATGTTATTATCAATTATAAGCTTTTATTCATTGTTTTTAATGGATCAATTTGAGTAAAATTACTTTTTTTTTTTGTTTGTGGTTTTATGAACTTCTTTCTTATTTTACAAGGATCTTTTCTCACCTCAATCTAATCACTTCATACCTTTGAATTTTGGACTATTGATTTCTAATCTGCTGCACATATCTTGAGTTGTATCTTTTGTTATTCTGTCCTTGTTTTCTCTCAGATGTCAGTTTAATTCATAACATGTCAGATTAACCTTTAACCGTCATCATTACTGAGATATTGACAGATGAGTTCCCCCACGTAATTGCCCGGTTTTCTTTTTCCCCTCTTTTTTTAAAATGTTTTTGTTCTAGTTATTTCGAGGAATTTAAGGTACTAGTGTTTAATTATTTTTCTGTAATTTATCTGATTAATTTAAATTTCTAAAGCTTTCTGATTTAGGAATGACATATGAAAGAATCCCATATTGTTGAATTCCATTCCGGTTAGTAATTGATGTAAATATATCACTAAAAAATTTGCCTCATGACATCCTATGAAGAGAATAGGTAGCAAAATTGTTTAATGGTGTCAAGATTTGCAATCCTATAGTAATTTGTTTTTTTTCAATATCAAGTACTACTTTTGAGGTTTAATGGCCCTTAAATTTTCTGTCAAAGCATGGCTATCTCTTGATCAAAGCTCTTCAATTTGCTGACTTTGTAGATCTCTTGCCACCTTAACCATCCGTCTCCATCTCTTCCTATCTTAGGCTATTGCTTTCCAGTTATCATCATGCCGCTCTACAGCATCTTTGTTGATTCGATCGATCCACCTGATTTTTGGACTTCCACATAGTCTCTTGTCTGCTATTTGGGCACTTATTGTTGTGCAGAGGTTTTCTGATGAATTGTCCTTAGCTAAATGCATTGCCGAACTCAATCTTCTTGCTCTCAAATTATGAGATATTGATTGACCAGTTTATGTATACTTTTCTGGTACTGGTCCATTAGCCGTGTGTGACGGACTGCTATCTGCCAATGTTTATAACCTCAACACTGATAATTCTGATAAGGCAGTGATAAGCCTTCTCGTAATTCCTATCTTCATATTCATATTTATTCTATTATATTCGTATTATTGAAATTGTAAACAGAAAGAAAAACAAATGTAATAATAAAAAAATACTTTTATTTTATGACATATATATTAAATTAATATATATATCTGATATATGTAGGAAATCTCATAATTCCTACAACAATCAGAAAACACTTTAATTTTACAACACTTTCATTTTATATATAATGCATGAAATGGACAAAAATAAATGTAATAATAAAAGATGAAAATGAAATAATAAAAAAAACCTTAAAGAACTTTTATGTTATAAGTGCTACGACAGCATCTCCATTTCACATCCCTGTCTAACTTTATTTGATGACCTTGTTCACACAATTTCACGTTTGCAAGTATCCCAATGTTTTGAAAATATTCAATAGCCTGTTCTTCTGAAGATAGTAATTCTCAGAATGTAACAAGATTCATAATTTGATGAAATTAACACTAACGGGCCAAAAATAAAGAATTTAATAACTGAATAACTGAAAAATAAACACAAACGGGCCAAAAATAAAGAATTTAATAACTGAATGTAATAAGTGAATAACTGAAAAATAAACAATGTAATAACTAAAAAGTTTGGCCTGATAAGAAGAGGGAGGTTATGTGACATGACGTTAGATAACATAGATAACAAGTGAGGTTTTGTCCCGCTCGGCTAATGTACCAGTACCACTCTTCTTTATTGGTCCTTCTCCATGTGTTAGTACTCACATTCTTTATCGCTCTGTTTATCGTGCGGAGGACTATTCTCTTAAATCTTTTAATAATCCTTTCTAGGGTGCTGGTTAGAACCAACTCTTGTAGCCATATATCAGAACTGGCTTTATTAAAACATTGTATGAGATTTTTCCGGATTTCAATACCTTTGAAAGAGAGAAGACTCTGAGCTTGTTTTAGACTGGTCTATTTCCAACCATTGGTCATTCATTGCGGCTATTATGGAGCCGAGTATTTGAGTTTTTTTTCTCTCGGGAACAATTCCCCCTCTAGTCCGGGGTACAGACCCCTTTTTAGCAAATCATTAACATCCGGCTGAACCTTCGTAGATAGCTTCATCTCATCGTAACTTATAAATATTTTATTTACAAAAATTCTCGGAATTTTTAATCTGGTAAATAAATTCGGGTGTTTTTAATCTGGAGGTCGACAAACTTTTTCTATTTCATTAGGTACTAAAAACTCAGAAATACCTATTTGCTTCCTACTTGGTTCGTAAGATGATTTGTTGATCACAAAAACGATACTATTGGGCTGTTTGGCCTATATAATCTTGTTAATTTGGAAGTGTAGGTCACACTAAACGGCTCAATATTTTTGAAGGCAACCTTTTTTCCCAACTTTGTGTGGAAATTACCTTACGAATCAAGTGGAAATGAAATGGGTATATATGAGTTTTTAGTCCCTAATTAAATAAACAATGTTTGCCGACTTGCTGATTGAAAATGCCTCAATTCCGAGAATTTTCGTAAATAAAATATTTGCAGGTTACGATGAGATAAAGCTGTATACAAAGTTTCAGGCGGATGTCAATAATTTGCTAGAAAGGAGTCTGTACCACGGACTATCTATGCACATCCTGTGGTTAGAATTTTTGGCTATCTTATATATTTTTTTTTCTTCATTTACTTGTAGGCTGATTTGCCCTATTTCTCTTAGTCCTAGTGAGTCTCTTAATGTTCACTTGATTGCTTCCAAGGACAGCTATATCAACTGCAAAGCTATATATGATTAATTCTGATGTTCACGTTTCCGCTTTCATGATGTTGTTCTTATAACCTTCTCCAGTCTAAGTTCAGCATCTGTGAGAGTCCATTACATTTGTGCTAGACGTTTTTGTCATAAGAAAATATTTAGAAATGCTTGTAATGAAGTAAATGTACTGTATAATGTACACTCTAGATTACACTTGCTGCATTGTAAATATATTCTATTATGAAGTATACCCGCTTATCCAGTGGTGAATTAGTGTCGACATCTAGTCAACTGCAAGTATCCAACAATATATCTTATATCTCGAATGAATTTTACTGTTTTTACATTTCAAATCCACTTGTGTTACGATATGCTTAACATAATTTAATCTTTTTTCAGGTCTCTCTTCATAGCCTTGTTCAAACATGCACTGTTTGTTGGATCTCGAGCATGCTACCGAACTGCCCTCGAGTTCTGTAAGCTTATCCTCTCCCTTGAGCCTGAGAAGGATCCATTGGCTGTGGTCCTCATTCTAGATTTCTTTGCTCTGCGCTGTCAAGAATATGAATGGTTAATAAGAATATCGAATGAATGGGAATGTACAAGAAATCTTTCTCAGGTAATTGAATTTTTTAACAACTTTATATATATTTATTTTTATATTAGTTGTATCCCCATCCTGTGGTCTGGCCTGCTTGAAATGAAATTATATGAGTGGCTTCATATCAAAGTCATCATATTCATATTCAGAATGTAGAGAAAAAGTAAATTTTTGTTTTATAATTTCAACTCAAACTATTCCTGATAATTTTTTTTAATAATGAAAAAATCATCATCAGAATTAGTTTGAGTTGAAGTTATGTTGCAAAAATTGTTTTTTTCTTGACTTTTTAAAAACGGCAGATGATATGAGGCCACTCGTATGTACTTGTGTCATACGCATGATTTTAATAATTTTCTCTCTTAGCTGCCGAACTTCGCCTACTCGCTGGCCATGGCTCAATTCCAACTGGGAGAGACAGAGGTTGCTCACGCATTGCTTCAGAAGGCATTGATAAAGTTCCCTGGAGTTTTGCTACCGCTGATAGATAAATGTGGTGCTGTGGTTGATTCAAGGGTTTCATCTAGTGCCTACTTTTCTAATGCACAGTCTACGTAAGTATCTCTTTAACGATTTTGATCATAAATTATATTTTTTGTAATGAGTTGGCAAATATACTTCTTAACTGACAAATTAATCCTGAAGGTGGATTGTTTGTCTTATCTGTAATATGTCAACAACCATTTCTGCAAACTATTTTTAAAATTAGATTAGTATTGTGTTGCTAGATTAGTATTTCTACTGTTAATATGGAAGAAAATGTCACACGTTATTTGCATATTGTACTATATTATTTTATAAAGGTAAGCGTGCTGCAGAAGCTCATGGTGCATTAACCGAATGCACTGCAATGCAATTCCTGTACAAAATTTTGACATCAATGACACTCCATGGTCTCGTCATCTACAAGAAATTTAAATGAACTATGTTAAGACCATTGTTGATCAAAATCCCACCCCATCATTTGAGTGCCATGGTCCAAGATGTTGGATACAAGCTTAGAAAACTGTCCAGAACTGGCGAATTGGAAAAGTGTTGCTTTCCACTGAGACAACGCTTGGTCTTAAATCTCATTGATCACTCAGAATAAATTATTAAGCTCTGAATAGAGACGGGTGAATACTAGACCTAGCTCTAAGCGACTACCACTAATTCTAGTCTCTGCCAAAATCCATGAATCGAAAGCAATTCCAAAACAAACAGAACATTTCCATATTCCATAAACCACTTAGGTCAGTTTCTGACAATAAATCCCTGATGTTTTATGAATATGGCATTATGTAGTTAATAAAAAGATAGGAACAGACCATAACACAGGCGGATTTACGGAGGGGTTAGGGGGGCCTTTCGGGCTGAAGCCCTCCCCCCCAAAACGGTAAAATCTAACCATGTTTTATAGAAAAAAATATTAAAAACTATCTCTTAAAGTATTATTGTTCGTGTAATTACATTAATTAGGACTTCAAGAATCATTTAAACACCATTTCATATAGGTAGTTAGTATCTTTATTTTTTTTTCAAATTAATTATCGTTATAGATATGAAAAAAAATCTTTCGGGCTGAAGCTCCCCTCCCCCCAAAATTAAATCCTGGATCCACTAGTGGGCCATACTAAATAATATTCTATACATTGTAGATTAAAATAAATTGTATATTTGTAACAAACCAATTTTATTTCATCCTGTAAAACTGATAGGACTTTTTGCCAGCCCAATATTTATGCTTGTTGATGCCTTCGTTACTTATTTTAATTTATTGTTTTTATTCATTTTTTATATTTCACTGTTACGACAGGCAAAGCAAATCTCTGAGCCAGCTGGAAACAATGTACGTAGAGCGTTGTTACCACGCTTGGAAGGAGGCTGACCTGCTGCCGTGGCTGGAGATGAACACCCACCAGGCCCTTGACAGGGTAGAAGCGGGGGACCCCCTCGTCGCAGAGTGGAAGGAGGCTCGCCTCAAGCGCTACCACTCTACCCCCAGGAACATCCACAGGCACATCATCCTCTCAGACCTCAAAGAAACTCCTCTCCTTCTAGCCGAGGTGAGTAAACTAAGTTATGTAGTTTATTTTAATTTTGTATCAAATTTAATTTTGTTTCAGTAAACAATGCACCTTTAATTCACAAAACAATGCACTCGCTCAGTTCAACTTTAGGGTTATTACATGACTATCTTCTTTTTTCCCTTAAACAATCCTTGAAATCTGATATCAACTTAATATACTTAGATTGATGTAATTAAAATATTATTAGTGTCAAGACTTTATTATCCATTTTACAAACTTGTTTGCTTATTCATTTTCTTCTTTTTATGTTTTGACTTATTAATTTGGATATGTATTATTTTTTGAAAATGGTTATGCTGTAGACAATTTCTCCATCTGGTTCTTAAAATGACTTTCTTCTCTAATATGGATAATATTGTTGCACATTTATGTATATCATATGTTTTATTCAATATTAGTATTGGTATGATAATAATAGTAGAATATTTTTAAATATGAACCCAAACCATTCACAATATTTAAATATGCCTATATTACTTATATTAGGAGCTTAGCACTGTTCTATTTCCTTGCTGGGTTGTCATACTATTGTGTTTGGAGACGGTTTTCATCCGATCAATAGTGACTGATCCTCGACCCCATATACGCTGGTTGTTGATTTCTCTCTTCTTGGACTGGTATGGGTCTCTTTCTTTGAGGCTGGTATCGGTCTCTTTCTTTGAAGATCACGAGTGTTAAGGCATCATAATCTTAAATCTAGCAGTGCTGGTTTGAATCGGCCTGAGCGGGTTGCTATTTATATCTTAACAGACTCCTGATCCGTTTCATTAAAGTAAATTAATTTTTTATTTCAACTTGGTTAGAATAAGTTGATTCTTTATTGTTTTTTTATCTGGTTGCCAGACAGCACGTGTTTAGCATGCCCTTTAGCCTGCTCGGCCATCCGGTCAATCTAGGTTAATTACATGTAGGAAACCACCATTCATTTCAATACTTATATCGGCTGATTGCCAGCCAAACCCAATGCAAAATGAGTCCTTATACAATCTTTCTACCATTGCTTCGGTCTACTTCTCCAACACTTACCAGTCACAGAGCTCAGTAACGTTTTAGGAATTCGTTCATTACTAAGCTCAACAATTTTACGTGCTTATTTTATTTACTGCAAAACTATTGCCTGAATTATATTTACCGGTTACATTACATGGAATCATGGGGGCGGGGTGGTTGGGTTTATTTGATAACGTATGTTAGATAAACAAAAGATAAAATAATTACAGTGCCGGAGTGCTTTTAACTCTAGCATTAACCCTCCGCGGTGCCCGTGTGTTAAAGTGTTGCCTGCTTCATCATTCTCGAGTCTAGTGGCACTAGTTCAAATCCGATCTAGTCAGGTTGAAATTTTTGTGGTGGACCCAAGGAATAAAACTTGACCTTCTCACACCGGTTAGAAGAGCTTTGGTTGTACCTCTAGAACAATCTCCTGTATGCCAGAAATGGCGAGGTGGGGGTTAACAAAAAAAAACATTGTCTCGCAATCATAAATTCACATACCTATCAATATTTTTTCTACTTATTCTCAATTTAATTCTCTTTATATTTCTGTTTACTGAAATAGGAATTTTAGTAAAGGAAGATACTTTTTTGGCTACTATACCAAAAGTTTAATTATTTCTCTTATAATTTTTTTTTAATCTATTTTCACAGGAACATAGCGCACCCCTCCTGAACTTCGACCCTCTACCTCCCTTGGACACCATAGACCTCTATTCACGACCGGTACGACCCAGGGCTCATGACAACAACGGACCTCTTGCAATATTATTCAGGTCAATTGTCCCTTCATTCAACATCAATCAAGTGGCAACTGAAGAACCGTAAGTTTTTACTATTTCTTAGTTATTACTTATACAGTTTTAGGATGCTTGTATTTTTAAGTTTAGTTTTTATATTTATTTAAATCTCAAATTCTTTATTCACTTGTATATTTCTCTTTGACAGAACCGATGAAGGAGGTTTGAGGAGGAGTGTTGCCCTCCTCCTGGATGCTATGAGGGATCTTCTGTCTAACATTCACCTACCTGATGTACCAGGAGATGGCGATGTCGAAGATGTTGATGATGTGGAAGATGATGCAACCTTATGTAAGTATTAAGTATTGAAATAGTTTATTCATTTGCGTTTTAATATTTTTTCTCCAAAAGTGGCCCTATTTAAGTTTCAATGTTATTTTTATTAACTATTGAATGAATCAATGAGAAATATGTGCTACAAATTAATAATTTCTTAATTTATTTTTTTCCTATATATTGTTTTGATGTCACAAATTGGAATAGATAATGTAGTTTTTTCACGTTTTCTATAGATTTCTCAATGATGATGGGATTTAATTTAGAAATAAACGACTCATTTATAGTAGTAAGCATTATGACACAAACTTAATTTATATTGTTATTGGAAGTATCTTTCTATACCCTTATTATTTCATTTTCTCTTTTTTTTTTTTTTTTTTTTTTTTTTTTTTTTTTTTTTTTTATTTCTTTATGACATTTACAACTGTATTACATAAATACATCAAGTAAATTTGGACATAATTGATATAATGACATGAATACACTTGCTGAGTAACTACCCAATGATAGCACTCTAATTTCATTTTCTTGAAAATAAATCTGTATTTAATATTGCTCATTACTGTATATAAGCTTTATTTAATATACTAGCTGACCCATGCGAATACTCCACACAATTTCTACTCAATAATGTTTGATACATAAAGGTTTAATACATATATTTAGTAAACCATCAGTATGATTTACAATCTGCCATGGTTTAACTATTGTGTTTCCTTAAACTTATAATTTAAATATTAGCTTTTTTCTTCACTTGATTATAAGAAATTTACAAAACCCTAAACATTGCTTTGAGCATCTGATGACGACAAAAGGTTCAAATTCTCAGGGAGCAATAGCTAGTCCGATCAGGATGTATGTTACTTTATCATTAATTAACATTAACATTAACATTAACTTTATCATTAAAACAAAATTGAAAGTGCATTTTTAAAATAATAAACTTCAATAATAAAGATCTAAAAGTAAAAGCTAATGTGGTTGAAACAAATTTACAAACATTCCAAAAAGTGTTTAATGGAAGACACACTGATATAATTAAAAATAAAATTAATAATTTAATTAATTTAAAACATAAAACATTTTGAAATGTAAAAGATAATCACTAATTGATACATTAAAAAAGGACATGCTCAAAATCTTAAATCCCCATGTGCAACAGAATCTTTGCAGTACAACAAATCCTGAATGTTAAGAACTCGATAACTCTGCACCAAATTTTTCTGATTTCGATGATTTTTTTTTTTTTACGTTTCATAGAGAATTTAGTAAGCTTTCAAATGCTGATTTGTATAATGGACGACCAAAAATTGCGTACTTTTCATGTTATTCACAAATTATGAATTTATTTGTAATATCTCGATTCATTGAGACGACACCATCATATGATTTGAAACCTCCCACTTTTATTTAAGTATAATAGTGTTATAAAATTAAGTATCAAAATTACGATTTCTAGGTAGTATTCCATTTTTATTCGTACCTTATTCCTCAAAATCCATCACTCCTGAAAGCCGGTAAAGGGATATATATATATATTTTAGAAATAATATATAAGATAAAATGCATTTGATCTACACTCCTAAAGATGGGATGTTTTTATTTACTAATCATTTAAGTCAAAATGTTAATAGACTTTTCGATATATTGAAGAGAAGAAGTTACATATTTTCTATTTATTAATATTTTTTTATCAATAAATTATGTTTGTTTTTTTCCATAATGTATGGGTCAATTATGTTTGAAAAAGTTTAAAAATTTAACATGTATAATATCAGTTTTCTTTCTTTTTTTCAGGAAAAAAGAAACGACCATAAAAGAGGTTCTACTTAATGCTTTTGATTTCTACATCATTATATAAATGTATTTCCATTTTTACAATACTTTCTGTTGAGGTTTACCTCAAGTACTGATGTGCAGCTAGTTGTAACAGTGGTTGTGTATTAAACACAATGTATTTGTATAATTATTTAGATAGTAGTTGGGGGATTTGTGTTTTAGGGGGGGGTTGGGGTGGGGTTGGGGGGGGGGGGGGGGTGGTTAGGGGTTAGTGGTGATAATTGGGTTTGTGGTTTGGTGGTTTAGGGGTTGGGGGGTTTGTGTTTTTGGGTGTATGTGTTGGGGGTGGAGGGGTTGGTGTGTTGGAGTTGATTGGGGTTTTTGTTGGGGATAGAGTGGGGTTTTAGGGAGGGTGGGTGTGGAGTGAGGGTGGTTGGGTGTGTGTATGTAGGGATGGGTAAAGTATTTTTTGGGATGTTTTTAGTGGGGAATAGGGGGATGGTTTTTGGTGATGTGGATTGGGGGGGGAGGGGGGTTGGGTAGATGGGGGGGGGTGGGTTAGGGTTTGGAATGTTAGGGGGGGTGGTTGGGAGGGTGGGGTGGTGGTGTTATTGAGGGCGGGGGGATGTGGGGTGTTGGGTGGGTGGGTGTGGTATTGATATAATGTGGGTATTTATTTTTTTTTGTTTGTGTTATTTTGTTTGTTGATTTTGGTGTGTATTGTGTATTGTTTTGTTTTGTTAAGTTTTTTGTTGTTTTGGTTTTAGTTGTTTTTTTTTTTTTTTATATGGATGTAAGTGTGTATTGATGGAGTGGGTTAGAATGGTGTTAAAGGAGAGTAGAGAAATTAAGAGGATAGGGGTAGTTTGAATGAGGTGTGGGGGAGTGTGATAGGGTGAATATGTATATATGGGAGGGTGGGTTGTTGAGGGAATGGGAATGTTAGAATTGGGTGTGTTGAGTATTTTGGGAGAGTGGAATAGGAAGGGATTAATGAGTGGTGGTGTTAGGGTGGGAGATGTTGATAGGGATTGTGCAAGAGGATTTGGGTGGTAAGTAAGGTTCTGGTGAAATTTGGAGAATTTTTCTGGGATAAGGTCTAGGACAAATGGGATGTTAAGGTCATGATGTAGGGTTTTGTTGGATACATAGAAAGGAGCATCGACTATTGTTCGAAGGACTTTAGACTGGAAGGATTGGATGCGCTTGATGTTAGAAAATTTTGCTGATCCCCACAGTTCTAGTCCGTAAGTCCAAATAGGTTTCAGTATTGTCTTGTAGATCAGTAGCTTGTTTTCAATGGAAAGTTTAGATTTTCTGCTTAGTAGTCGGTATAGTTGGCCGTATCGTCGGTTGAGTTCTTGTCTTTTGAGTCTAGTATGCGGGTTCCAAGTTAGTCTTCGGTCTAAATGAAAGCCAAGATACCGGACTGTGTCTGAATAAGGAAGCTGGATGGAATTAAAGAGTACTGGTGGACAGGAATTGCGTCGGAGTGTAAAGGTAATATGTTGGCATTTAGATTCATTAACTTTAATGCGCCAGTTATTACACCAGTGCTCAATCAAGGTGAGGTGACTTTGGAGATTTAAGGATGCTATTTCGGGATCAGAGTTAGATGATAAGATTGCGGTGTCGTCAGCGAATGTTGCAAGAAAAGTATCGGGATAAACAGGGATGTCAGCAGTAAAGAGGATGTAAAGCACGGGACCCAAGACGCTGCCTTGGGGAACACCAGCTTTAACGGAGTAGATATTGGAAAATTCTGTTCCACAGCGAACTCGAAAGGAGCGGTCAGAGAGGTAGGATCGGAGGACTAGGTACAAGGACTGAGGTAAATGGATTTTAAGCTTGGAGAGCAGTCCGGAGTGCCATACCCGGTCAAATGCCTGTGCAATGTCCAGAAAGGCACCCGAACAGTATTCCTTGTTTTCTAGGGCTGAGGAAATATGATCAACAACTCGGAGTCCTTGTTGAACAGTAGAATGTTGAGAGCGAAAACCAAACTGATGGGAAGGGATATTTTGGGATTCTATAATGGGTAGGATTCGTTTCAAAAGGATCTTTTCAAAAATTTTTGAAAGGATTGGGAGTAGGCTGATTGGTCTATAGGATGTTGAGCTATTGAGAGGTTTTCCTGGTTTTGGGAAAAGGATAATAGTGGAGTGTTTCCATAACAGAGGGAAGTGGGTGGTGCGTAGGATACAATTGTAGATATATGTAAGGAATATGACTGCTTTGGATGGAAGTTGTCGAAGGATTTGAGGTGTAAGGAGATCATGTCCAGGAGCTTTACGGAGGATTAGTTTTTTTAATTGAAATTTTACTTCGGAAGGATGAATAGCTTTTGGGGGCAAGGAAAGTGGGATTGGTGATGTAAGGAGTTCTTCTACTGTTACGGTGTGGGCAGGATGGGATTCCGGATGTGAAATAAATGTATTGGATAGGTGAATGGCGAACTCCTCAGCTTTATCTTCGTCAGATGCTGCCCAGGAGCCATCACCTCGTCGGAGAGGATGGGAAATGCGGTGAGGATTTAGGATTTTTGTTGTGGTTTTCCAAAGGGAATTGTCGCGAGAAGAGAGGGAGGATAGGTAGGAGTTGAAGGATTGTGATCTGAAGGTGGCTAATTCCAGTTTTAATTGTTTGCAGTAGTAATTATAGGAGCAGCGGTCGGTAGGATGTCGGGTACGTTGCCATAATAATCTGGCACGGCGTTTGGTGCGGATTAGGTTAAGGAGGTGTTGGGGTAGAATGGTCTTTATAGGAATTCTGGAGGAGTCTTTTGGAAAGGAGGCAGTCCAGGCGGCTTGTTGGATTGTGGTAGTAAAGGAATTTACGGCACTATCAAGGTCATCGGGAGTTTTGAGGGATATGTTGAGATCAATATTATCGGAGATTATTGAAAGCAATAACTAAAGAAATATTTAATTTAAGTAATTAATAATTGGTTCATTGTAAACAGGATGAAATTTAACGTTTATCAACAAGAGTTTATCATTGTTAAAGTCATTTACTGAGGACTTTTGAGCGGCTAAACTCTAAGCTAAGTTCTAATTTTTAAAAAAAATCAAAAATTTAAGTTTGTATGAATTAGGTTGAGATTTATTAGGGAAAAAAATTTGAGATACTGCTCAAGTTTTGTTAAAAAATTATGACATTCTTTATCCTGTCAAGCACTAGCGGATCAAGGATTTAATTTTGGGGAGAGGGGGAGGCTTCAGCCCGAAAGATTTTTTTTTCATATACATATGACGATACTTAATTTGAAAAAAAAAAAAAAAGAAAGAGATTAACTACCTATATGAAATGGTATTTAAGTGGTTCTTGAAGCCCTTTTAAATGTAATTAAACGAACAACCATACTTTAAGAGATAGTTTTTAATATTTTTTCTGTAAAACATGATTATATTTTACCATTTTGGGGGGGGAGGGGAGAGGCTTTAGCCCGAAAGCCCTCCCCTCCCCCCGTAGATCCGCCTGTGCTGTCAAGTAAAAGTACCCTGTTTTCAGCAGAAATGACTACAATTAACAGTTGGAAAGCTTTTATTTCTTATTTTTCCATGATCTAATAATAAACCCAATTGCCTAAACACACATCTTATTAATTTGAAAAATATTGATTTTTCTTAATTTTTCCAGTAAATCGGTTATAAACTGTGTTTTTCACCCAGATCTTTGTTTTAGGAATTGATCCATATTTATATGTGACAAACTAAATGTTCCTGATCCTAATAGTTAAGTTTTAATTAAAATAATTGAAGCAATCAGCAGTTTTTTTTTTTATTTTAAATATAAATTTTAAGACTAGAAACTTTTATTTTGTCGCTTTCAAATAAAGCTCAATTCCTAGAAAACATATCTGGGTGAAAAGCAAAGTTTATAACCAATTTAACGGAAAAATATTTGAAAATTTAGTATTCTTTTTTATCAATAAAATGTTTAAGCAATTGGGTTTATTAAAATATACCCCAGATCATGGAATAAAATAAAAAACAAGAAATAAATGCTTTGCAACAATTAATTGTAATCATTTTTGCTGAAAACAGGGATACTTTTACTTGACAGGATAAAAAATATAATTTTTTTTAAACAAAACTTGAGCAGAATCTTAAATTTTTCCCTAATAAACCTCAACTTAATTAATACGAACTTAAAGCATATAAAAAAAAGAAGTTTTTGTAAAAGAGGTGAAACTGTAGTATAGTTGGATGATATAAAAAAAAAAAAAAAAAAAGGCAAATAATTTGTTTTTTCTAAAAACAGAACTTGGCTAAGTTTAGCTGCTCCAAAGTCCTCTGTAAATGGTTTTAACGACAATAAACTCTATGTTAATTTAAAGTAAATTTCATCTTGTTTACAATGAAGCAATTATTAATTATTTAAATTAAATATTTTTTTAGTTATTCCTTTCAATTCAATAAAAAACATGACTCACTTAAAAAAACACAAAACTTGGATTTGCTACTGAAAATTGAACCATTGTTTATATAAACTTTTTTGTAGGTACTGAGGTCTACTATCAGCCCTATACAAATCTCCCTCTACTTACGAGGCAGTCTGTATATTAGTTATTTAGTTTTTTGATATTTTGTTAGGTTATTTTATTGAACCTTATTTGATCACCCAGAAATCCTAATATTAATAATTTTTTTAAAATTTATTTATTGAATAATGATACATTCTGCCACACCCCTAGGCAATTCACGAAATTGACAGGAGTACTTTTAGTCTGACAAAGAAATTAGACATTGGTTATAACTTTTTTGTTTTTAATTTATTTTATCTAAAATAGTATTTTCAAATAATCTATCTCGTATGAATGGGTATTTAGGGCTCTATATGTTCGATATAGTTAACAAAATTACTAAGGATGGGCGATAGTCAATAGACATTGGTCAATATATAAGTAGTTTAATACTATCAATATTCCTAGTGGCTTCGATAGTTCGCATCCTGCCCTTTGACGCAAATTATTTTAAAATTTTATACACTTTAAGGAATAATTTTAATAACACGCCTTCATACTTCTTCCCATTCATGATTTATGAGATAGTACAATAATGTAAAAGTTAAATGTTTGCTAATGGAACAGGTGGAACATTACAATTAAAATTATTAAAACTGATAATTAGAATTTTTTTATTTACATTTTCTACAATGTATTATTTTCAGTAGTCTATCACAACCAATATTCAAATTAAATTTCATTGCTG